GACGCCCAGAGGAGGCCGCATAATACCTTCAGTGGTTGGAAATCAATCGACCGCCTCACTTCCTGGTTTCCTCTGTGCAGATGACGCGTCCTGGGCTGAGGGCTGGGAGGAGGGGGCCTCCCTCTGGGCTCCCGGGATATCCAGCCCACCATCTCCCCTCTGCTTCCCCTTCCTGCACTTCCTTTACCCAGAACAGGGTGAGAGAGGGTCACAGGCTCTTTTCCAAAAGGCCTATTTTTATGCTCCATTTGGGCCGCTACACGAGGTTCTGTGGGAAGCTGGGTGACATTTGCTCTCTGGTCACCACTATTTACATCACATAGTATAAGTTAACGAGAAGAAAGGGAAGCCTCGCTGCTCTCAGCTCACTGTCATCCAGAGCCTGGTGCTGAGGCCTTCACGGGAAGGGAATGGGCGGGCAGAAAAAGTAAAGGAGGGGCCCACACATCACGGTTCATCCCTGTACGCCTCTTCTCTTGGATGCAGGAACCACTACTTACTAACAAAAGTCAGGGCATGTGACATTAAAAAAAAAAAAAAAAAAAAAAAAAAAAATCAACATTTTCCTGTCTCCTAGGTACATAAAAAAATCTTTAAAACGTATAAAAATTATTCACTCATATATTACTTACTCTTAATAGTTACAAATTGCCATTAAATTTTTATATGACCTTCAATGAAAAAGAAAATATATTTAGCTGAGGTCAAGATTATTCTTGCCTATCCAGGTGAAGACACTTGAGTTTTGCTATTTAACTATCTAAACAGTCTCAACCTTTGGCTGGCATATTCACAATAAACCTTTAGAAGTGAATGAGAAAATCTATTGATGGAATCCTGGGATTCCATGGGTGGGATTCTGATAGACCAAACGGTACATGTGTACGCATCTATCTATCTATCTATCTATCTATCTATCATCCGTCTATCTTTTTATCTATCTGTTCACCTTTCATCTATCCTTTATCTATAGCTATCTACCTATCTTTCATATCTATATCTATCACCATCCCTCCGACCTTCCCTCCTGGCATGATGTGGTTAACCAGGAAGTTCCCTTCTCCACCATCTGAGAGAGTTCTGCAAAATGGAACATTACCAAACCTTTTTTTCTCTCTCACTCTAGTTCTAGGTGTGAAACTGGGGCCGCTGGGGAAGGAGCACACAGATTTCCAAGTTCTAATCTGGGTTCCACCACAAGTCATGGACCACTGAACACACTCTCAACCTCTGGGACCTTAGGTTCTTCATTCACAGAATCCCATCAATTAGGATCAGAGCAGATGATTTCTTGAGTCTCTTTAGCTCTAAATTTCTCTCTCCACTGTTTCTTTTTCCTTCTGTTTCTGTCTCCTTTTGTAAATTGGTGGTTTCCACCTATGGTGATTTGCTCGGTCCCCCCTTTTTTATGTGTCATGTCTCAGCTCTTGACTTTTGCTTTATGGTTACCACGAGGTTTACATAAAATATTTCATAGGTAAAACGGTCCTTTTTCTGCTGTCTACCTCTAAATTTAAAGTATTTTAAAAAGCAAGATTGCATGGGAAGTTCAATAGTAGTGATTTTTTAAATTATTTATTAGATATTTAAATTTTGTAGGCTTTATACTGTGTACTTTTCAAAAAAATTATTTAGTTTTCTTTTTTTTTTTTTTTGCGGTACGCGGGCCTCTCACTGTTGTGGCCTCTCCCGTTGCGGAGTACAGGCTCCGGAGGCGCAGGCTCAGCGGCCATGGCTCACGGGCCCAGCCGCTCCGCAGCATGTGGGATCTTCCCGGACTGGGGCACGAACCCACGTCCCCTGAATCGGCAGGCAGACTCTCAACCACTGCGCCACCAGGGAAGCCCTGTTTAGTTATTTTTATTTTTGGCTGTCTTGGGTCTTCGTTGCTGCGCGGGGGCTTTCTCTAGTTGCGGCGAGCGGGGGCTACTCTTCGTTGAGGTGCTTGGGCTTCTCATTGCTGTGGCTTCTCTTGCTGCGAAGCACGGGCTCTA